TGTGTGTGTGTGTGTGTGTGTGTGTGTGTGTGTGTGTGTGTGTGTGTTGCTTTTCTTCAGGGAGACTTCAGAGATGACAATTTCAACACAGCCATGCAGGTGCTGAGAGATGCAGGGGATTCTGGGGGCAGCGGAGGGGGCAAGTGGGACCCGAGAGGGCGGAAAGGAGGCACTAGAGGTGTGTGTCGGTTTATAAGATGGAAATGTGTAAACATCTTAAATTCAATCATTTGCACCAGTATTTATTTATTCATTCATTCATTCATGTGTGCTCTCATGAATGGTTTCCTCAGGGCCGTCCAGCGTGTTCAAGATAGTAAAGATGATCATGGAGAGAAACTTCCAGCCCGTCATCATTTTCAGCTTCAGCAAGAAAGAATGTGAGGCCTACGCTCTGCAGGTGGCCAAGCTGGACTTTAACAGAGGTGTGTGTACTATACAGGTGTGCTTTTATCACAACTTTTGTGCTTGTAATTTGTTTCTCGACAAACCTATGCTTTGCAACAAGAGTGGTAGTTCAGCAAGTCAAGCATGACTATGTAATACTCCTGCAAGAAGTTCTTTAGTTTGAGTATTTAATAGTCCAGCGACATGATAGTAAACTCAATGTCTTTGGGTGACATCTATTATGGCAGATTCAATTAATTCCTACCTGTTTATTTGGCCAGTAGTAAATAATCAAATGTCTCCTTGATTTAATATCCCTCTGATAAGCTCAACTAAACCACATTGTTTTTATTGTGGGCTGTATTTTCCCGTCAGATATAAAGTCACACTGTTAGCACGTTGAACAATGATTATATCTGTGGTTATATCTGAGCTGAAACCGGGCGAGCGAAACCCCTCACCAAAATGCTAAATCGTTGGCAAGTGGAGCCGAGTGAATCCTCCCCACTGAGCGAGTGCCATGAATGTGGCGTATTGTGTCTGCACAGCTGGTGCAGCTGTTTGCTCCACTGGATAAGTGAAGTTGCCTCATGAGGACAAAACTCTGCGCGGTGGGAGATCATCCAGCAGTAGATCGAGCTTGGCTCACATCCACCTGCTTCAGGCTTTTTCAGTGAAACAAAACATGCGTATGAAGTCATTCTTTGGTTCTGTTTCTCCCTCATCTTAGTTTGTTTTGCCTCCATGTTGACATTTTCATAAATTAGGTTTATTTAACTTTTTTTTTTTTTTTTGTCAATGCTGCCAAGTTTTGCCAACTGTTTCATGTTTTTGAGAGTTTTCTTGAACAGAATGTTTTTCTTAGAAAATGAAGCACATGATACCCAGCAAGAGCACTCGGATAATTTCATTAGACAGAAGAACATTTAACTTGATCGAGGAAAAACGTTGAAATACAATAATCGGATTGGTAAAGGAGTATAAATATTGCTTTGACATTTGAATCCACATAACGGAATGTGATGTTTTTTTTTTTTTTTTTATAGCTACAGAAAATAATTACTTAAGCATCAGTTTCAAAACGATGCGTGTGCGTTTCTTTCTTTACGTCTGTCATTTAGAAACTCAAGGGACCATTCCTGTCTTAGCAATCAGTGGAGAAGGCAGATTGTTTAACCAGCATGTTTGCAGGCAGGTTGTTGGTGTTATGGAGCTCCTTTGTTTGGGTGCGTAGGTGGGTTATAATGAGGAGAGGGAGCCATGTGGCTGGCCTCTTATTGCCAACCAGCTACTAACCATCCCCCATCCTCTTTCTTTTACCTTTTTTCTATTTAGCGTTCTCTTTCGTCCTATATATTCTTCTCGGTCTGTTTTTATGAACACTAAAGACAGAGCCCCTCCCTCCTGCTTTGTGCTGTGACACACAGTTTCTGGGCAGATCTGTGTTGGAGTCAGGGGACCGGCTGGTGCCGAATCACAAACCAACTGACCCAATGCAGAGCTGCAGCATCAAGCAGACAAATTCGGTCGCTTCATGCTAAGACAGGTGGACACAAAGGCAGACTGTGTTGTTGGGATGCTGACAGCGGTGTTCTTTTTGGTTGAACAGCAGCATTATAGTTGTTTTTGCCACTAATAAGAAGAGCCTGAGGGTGATGAAGTCACTCCGGTCCAGAGCCAAATACCTCAGCAGTTACCGGTTGCGAGTTTGCTTTAGATCGTTGTGCTCCACAGAGGATCGTTTATCGACTCAAAGGAAGAACTCCAGCGATGAAGTTTGCTGTGGCGGATAGAAGTACCCTAATGTCTTGGTGACCCTTTGGCTTTTCTTTTACAATCATCAGAATGTTGTTTCTATGTGTACATAAGAAACATCAAAATTCTGAATGCCATAGAATGTATTGTGTACAATCGCACTCCTCAGAGGTTAAACTGTTTCCTTTTCGGATATTCTTTGAGCCTCCCTCGTGTCCCAAAAAGTGAGACTTCTGGCTTGTTGCTACAATGGCTCTGAAGCACGTCTTAGTGTGTTTGCAGCCTCTAGGGGAGGTTTATTAGACACTTGGCTCTAGCAACATCTATATGATTCTGTATGATTTAAAGTGGGGTTTTGGCTGTTACATGTTCTTCCTATCTGGCTGTTTTACTGGCCATGGATCTAGCTTAGGCAATGTAGCTATATATTCTTTTACATTGGCCCCAGTGTGTGTTTGTCTGTGGTATTGCTTTGTTATTAAACCATTAAAATAAGTCCCTCATCGGACTTCGTCGAAGTCCCAAGTTTCTGAATAACACCGGCTCATAAGAGGGACACTTTCCAAGAATGGTTTCATGAATAACAAATGACCTGTGACTAGGAGACAGAGAGAGCCACCCAGCCACAGCAAACCGTTGGTACATTCATATCCAACAGATTACAGTAATATAGTGTTAGTTAAACATGCGGCAGCCTTCAACAGCTTTCCAAACATTTATTTTGAGGAGTAGTTGAGACACGCAGCTTAAGGATGTGAGAAATTGCTTTGTGATAATATTTAGATAGTTTTATGAACAGCTACGGGGAGACATTTGTTTGATGCACCGTTTGTTTGTTCCAGAGGACGAGAAGCGTCTGGTGGAGGAAGTTTTCAACAACGCAGTGGACTGTCTTTCTGACGAAGACAAGAAACTCCCTCAGGTGAGGAGGACTGAACTCTCGCACTCCTCACAACGCGCCGGAGGTTTTTAATAACCAGCCACGTTGCTTTCACAGAAAAGACCAGAAAAAAAAGACCTCAGCGTCTCCTTCAGAATCATTTTCTGCTAAGAGAAGACAGTTAAACTGCCTTACTGTAAATGGCTGCACACATAATGTCAACACCGTGCTGTGCTGAGTCACAGTATGAAAAGCAGCCGTGTTGAAGTAACACTTGTTAGTGGGTAGACCACTACGGCAAAGCCAACCATAGCCCACACTTTTCCACTACGAAGGTTCAACATGCTCTCCCACTCTCTGTGACTTTGGCTGTGACCGTATGAACCAGCTGGTCACTAAACCTTAATACTGCAAACACTAATCTGTCTGTCAACGCTCTCGGTATTCCTCAGGTGGAGCATGTGCTGCCGCTGTTGAAGAGGGGGATCGGAATCCATCATGGAGGCCTGCTGCCCATCCTGAAAGAGACCATAGAGATCCTTTTCTCTGAAGGCCTGATAAAGGTACAACATGCTCATCAACACACATTTAAGCAAATTACATTTATCCCTTCGCAGAGGTACTGCAATGATTTGATTTGTAAAGATGCTCAAGGAGTCTTCAACCTACATTATCACCAAATTAGGTTTAATACATCGTTATAGAATAAACTGTTTTAATGTTGAGAATTGATACAAAACTCTTCTCTGCTTTTGTTTGTATGTACAAGAGCAATAAAGGTTTTTGACCACTGGTTGAGCAGTGTATTTGTGTCCTGATGCCAATTTTTGGCTCTTCCACTGATCAGCAATCTGTGGAAGTAACACGCCAACAAGACTGCTAGCAAGCAAGCATGAATGTAAACAACGCAACATTAGAAATGCTTTAAAATTGGAGCAGGAGCTTGAAGCGTTTTGATGAGCAGCCTTTATTAGTTGTCTGGCTTGTTAGTCCTCAGTGGCTTGTACCTATGAATACGATCCCTGAAGTTCTTTTACACTTTTGAAGATTTCCCTTCGTTAAATGTGTCTACATATGTTTAAGATTACCCCGTTCAGTACAGTACTATCTCTTTGGAGTTTAAATAATGTCTTTCACATTCACCATGTTCATTAGATACACAATGCCTGCTGGTAAGAGACATTGAATGCAAACAGATGTTAGTTTGTTTCCAAGAAAACTCCATAGGAGACCTTTTTTCAGCGGGATTGAAAACGACAGAATATTGCGATGACATTATCTTGATGCTGACTTTTTATTCTCCTTTCAGGCCCTGTTTGCGACAGAGACGTTCGCCATGGGCATCAACATGCCGGCTCGCACCGTGCTCTTCACCAGCGCACGCAAGTTTGACGGCAAGAATCACCGTTTTGTAAGAGCCCACACACACATGCACGCTGCTATTGTCACATAATAAGTCATAAGTACATTATGTCGTGGAACTCCAAATCCAAAAAAAATAGCTGTGGTTGTGAGCACACAGAAGGAGAAAGATGAGCCCAAAAAGCGTAGTTTATGTGAGCTAGGAATCCATCCGTGGAAGAGTTCCTCTGCCTTTTGAGGCAAAGTGCGAGGCTAATCTCCTTGTTACTCTACCAATGAAATGATAAAACTCCCCATACACAGTGCTATCTCTTTAAAACAACAGCTCTGGTCTGTGTGCAGTGTGGAGTTGTCACACAGTGTGTTGCTCTGAGGCCTTTATAAGGTCCTCGAGCCCCGCGGCTTGCAGCGCCACATAAACAGCCACGTATTGTTTATAAGAGCTGTGTGTGTGTGTGTGTGTGTTTGGAGCTGCCGTCACGTAGAAGCACCCTTCATCTTCACTTCATACACATGGCTTTCCAGCTCACATTCACACAGAGCTGAAGAGTGTGTAAGAGAGAGAGGGGAGAGATTTCTCTCCAAGAGGTTCATCAGGAACATCTGGTGCCTCCGATGGTGCCAAAGCTCCACGCAGGCACTCGCACATTTGAATTCCTGAAACGCACTGTGTTTCAAATCAAGAGCTGATCCCCCATGGCATCGGATCATTTCAACACAAAAATAGTTTCTTCAGTCTTCTTATTTTGCATGTGTATTGCCCAGAGACCAGCAGATATGTGGAATTGAATCAGAATCACGTGTGACACAGAGAAAGAGTCCCCAGAGATGGAAATCTGCTTCAGTCTCTTCCCCATGAGACAGTTCCATCATCTAGATTTAAACACATTGTCTATTCTTCAAAATATTTGGTTATATTCTCACTCAAATATGCGTTAGTTTAGTACATTCTCTCACTGCCTCTCCTGGTTTTTTTTCTTCTTGGTAGTATTCTTTGTCGTATCAATAAATAAACATTATATTACAGAGCGAAGCGTTCACTAGCGAATGTCTTTCTTCTTATTGCCTTGTGGGTGTTTCCATGTGGTCTAGATTACATCAGGTGAGTACATCCAGATGTCCGGGCGAGCCGGTAGGAGAGGAATGGACGACAGGGGAATTGTTATTTTCATGGTGGACGAGAAGATGAGTCCAGCTGTGGGCAAACAGCTGCTCAAGGTACCGTGGATACCGTGCTTTTTACGTACACGTTGTGGGGATTTGTCTGCATCCAATTGCTAGTCATGAATAACCTCTTCAGTGCTGTCCTCACATTCTTTAACCCAACACTAGTCCAACTATTCCATCACATAAAACACATAATTCACCCCGCTGCCTTGCTGAGAATTTGTGTGAATGATTAAATGGAAATTGCTGAAGTGACTCTTAAGTCTATGGATCATCGCGCCGTTTGCTGCTCTGTCAAACACTCAATAACACACACAGTGCCAGCGAAGCCAGAGTCACTCAGCCTCTCGTCTTTGATTTGACACGTTTATAGCTGCTATAAATATGTCGTGTTAATGTAAATCTGTTTCCCAGGGATCCTTGGAGAAAGCTGCGCTTCATATCCGTGTGTCTGGAGGGTGTGATTGCTAAATCTCTCTCAGTATTTCCTTTAAGAAAGGGACTTCAGCCAGCATTTATTTAGACCTCATACCTTCTTGGCACTTTTAGTAAAGTTCGTTGGTTTGTTTGTATATCATCATAATGAAAGGATTTCTTTTTTTTTTATGTTTTTGTTCTGTCTCCTTGTTCAGGGCTCAGCAGACCCTTTGAACAGCGCCTTCCACCTGACCTACAACATGGTGCTCAACCTGCTGCGTGTGGAGGAGATCAACCCGGAGTACATGCTGGAGAAGTCCTTCTACCAGTTCCAACACTACAGGGCTTTGCCTGGTGTTGTGGAGAGTAAGCATATTTCCATCCATATTTAATACAGCACACTTAATGCTGGATCAGCAAGTAACCTGTAGAGGAAACAGATGAGCAACAGCTGTATTTTTTTATTTTAGAAATGTTACACGGTGCTGTTTGTTGACACATGCTAAAGACTAAAATAAACAGTTTTGACTGTTTTCATTCCACAACTGAGATATCTTTCATTATTAGATGTCAAGAGATCGATGTGGAGAAAACCTTAAAGAAATGTTTTCACTGGAAGACGCTAATACCTCATTTCCTCTCCTGTTGTGGCCTGACTCTAGTTTCCACTCAAATCACGTTCCTGATTTTTCTGTGCAGAAATGAAGAAGTATGAGGAGCAGTACCACAGCATTGAGATACCCAATGAAGAGGGCGTGGTCACTTACTTTAAAATCCGACAGCAGCTGGCCAAGCTGGGTAAAGAGATACAAGAGTTCACCCACAAACCCAAATACTGCCTGCCCTTCTTGCAGCCCGGGAGGCTTGTCAAGGTAGAGCTTCACACTCTCACAGTTTGACCACATTATTCATTTCCACACGTCATTTAATGGCTCTCCGTTTTGATCCGTCAGGTAAAAAATGAAGACGCAGACTTTGGCTGGGGAGTTGTTGTTAACTTTAGCAAGAAGACGAATGTGAAGGTAGGTTGGTGTGTGTCTCACACACACACACACACACACACACGTACGTTATCCCATCTACATGTGGCTGTGACTAATGTGCATTTCCTCATTTAGACCAGTACAGACTCGGAGCCGCTGTACGTGGTGGAGGTTTTGGTCCACTGTAGTAAAGACTGTGTAAAAGATGCTGCGACTGAGGCTGCTAAACCTGCTGCTCCAGGGGAGACCGGAGAGATGCAGGTGGATTCAACAAGCACACATCTGCATATTTCATACACGCATGTCTCTGTAGTCAGGGGGAGTATAACTCTCTTTTTGTTTTTGTCCAGGTGGTCCCAGTGATGCTTCATCTCCTGACTTCCATCAGCTCAGTTCGCCTTTACATCCCCAAAGACCTGAGGCCCTTTGACAACCGACAGCTCATGCTCAAGTCTATTCAGGTACAAACGGCAGCCATGTTGAAAGAAAGATAATGAAACTGGTGGAACTCATCATCACGTAAGTTCTCTCTTTCCCTTTAAAACATTTTCTCTGCAGGAGGTGCAGAAACGTTTCCCAGATGGTGTTCCTCTGCTGGACCCCATAGACGACATGGGCATCAAAGATCCTGCACTGAAGAAAGTTATTCAGAAAGTGGAGGCCTTTGAGCACCGCATGTACTCCCACCCCCTGCACAGCGACCCCAACCTGGAGTCTGTGTATTCCCTCTGTGAGAAGAAAGCTCTGGTGAGAAACCGTACATGTGCGTCTCTGTGTGTGGGAGCGTCAAAAGTCACCGGTAGAACAACCTGCTAAATGTCCAACTGCAATGAGCCCATTTAAATTCACAGTTAACACAGTAGGGTTTGTTCCATTGAAATATTAATAACTTTAATCTTCCCCTTTTTATCTACATTGGCTACCTTTTGTTGGATTACAATCAATGACCTTCCATTGTCTTTTCCTGCCAGACGGGCCACATATACTCCTACAGAGAAACACAGGAAGAAAGCAAGGCTGTAACTCCTACCCGGGCCTCGCCCTTACTTTTAGGTCACATAGCAGAAAAATAAACATATATATATATTTATATGTCAAATAATATGCACATTATTGCATCTGTGTGCTCTGCTTTACCAAATTATCAGGGCAGAATGTTAAATTGGGTTCATATTTGGAAAGGTTAAAAAGGCAAAACACCCAGCTCGGAAAGCAAACCAGACCGTGTTTGACAACCTGCGTAAACATTTATCTCACTCTGTGGTCTTGTGTGTGTTATGCAATGATAAGGTATGTGGTGCAGTTTCAACTGGATAACTCTGTTTGATTGGCAGCTTAAGAGATTAACCTGCTCCTCTACGGGCATTTCTCTGCAGCTAATCCTTCATCGTATTCCTGCAGTTGACCTCCTCGTTAGCCTTTACAGCACTCGTACCACACCTGCCTTAATTGCTTAGCAAGTCTCGACTCACTAAAACTTCCTAACGCCACACATCATGGTCGATGTAGTTGAAACACATTTGATGCCATGAAGACCAAAGCTGCAACCACCGGTTTGGAGACGTTGTGCTGTAACTCCTCTGAGTTCTTTGAGCAGTGAACTATGCCGGTGAAATCTTTCTGTGCATGTGATTGCGTCTTTGGCGCGTTGTAATCTTGAGGGGTAAAGGTTCAAAGTTGATAATGGGCTTTATTGTGGACAGATAAGCGGGCAGATGAACATCTGTTGGCAGATAACTCAAATACTTCCCCTTCTTCACTCTGAAAGTTATTGTAGTGTTTCAAATGATCTCATGCACAAAACATCTGGGAGTTGTGAAATATTTTCTAGAATCCCTGAAAGAGCTCCTCCAAGTGTACATTGGGTTTAACAATACGTCGTTTGTGTGTTTTAGATTGCAGCAGACGTCCGAACGGCCAAGCGAGAGCTGAAGAAAGCTCGGACCGTCCTGCAGATGGACAAGCTGAAGTGCAGGAAGAGAGTCCTGCGACGCCTCGGCTTCGCCAGCCCGTCCGATGTCATCGAGATGAAAGGAAGGGTCGCCTGTGAAATTAGCAGGTAAGGGAAGGATGGAGCGCACACCGAGCGACCAATCTGTGGAAGTGCTGTCTGAGTCACACTGACGAGGAAAGCAGAGGTGTTTGGGTTAATCATGGTGGGCCGTTGCCCCGTCCAACAGATGAAGGTAGTCTGTGAATGTGGATGTTTCTCAGTATTAAAGCACTAGTCTGAAATACTTGATGATGACACAGGTTTTTTGGGGGGAAAAGACAATGTACAGCCTCTGTCTGACGGCCATCTTGAATGTGAAACTGCTGCGTGGATAAGCTAATTAATGAAACATGAGGATGTGATAATAATGGAGGTTTAGGGAAGTAAAGTAGATTTCATGGAGCAGAGGTTTGGGGCTTTCTTTCTGATTTTCATTTAAAATCTTAGTTTATTTCTTGAGCAGCTGATGACGGCACAGAAAAGACATCCAGCTGGACTAAACTTAGTTTAATAATTAACGTTTAGTAATTTATAACCTTTATTTTAATAGAATATTGAAATAACCAGTTCTCCAGGATCTGCAGGACAGATTTCTTGGTAAAATCGAGTGAAACCCTCGACGATAAATTACTATTTTGACGCAGATTTATCTTACGTGAGGTGTCATCGCATTAACGGTGGCTTGTCTCCTTCTACCCATAGCCTCCATTTATCTATTATTGATGAGATGGACGGTAACTCTGGATTTCTTATTTGGTGAAATGTTGTATGTATCCAGGGCTGAAACATGAAGAGCATCTGTCTTTACCTTCTCCAACCGGCCACATTCATGCAGCAGCTTAAAGTGTTTTAACAGAACAGGGAAGAGATGGAAGTATAAAGTAATAACATCTCATCCAATAATTCTTCCAGTGCTGACGAGCTCCTGCTGACGGAGATGGTGTTCAACGGTCTCTTCAACGATCTGACGGTGGAACAAGCCACCGCCCTGCTGTCGTGCTTTGTCTTCCAGGAGAATGTACGAACAAACACACACAAACCCACAAACCCTCTAGTTCTCCATACAGACGTAGAGCCTTTTTCTGGAACACTGAGATAAACGGCTGATTCCCATTCCCACACACTCAAGCTCCCGTCGCATTGTTGGCCTCTCTGCAACCGAAACAGAAACCTGAGGTTGATATGCGTTTGTCTTTCCTAATGAAGCCCGTTCTCTCAATGAGGCAACCCAGCGTGAGACGGTTTAATGAAGCTTTTCTTTGGCTCGTCATCAGCTGTTAATGTAGACCAGCTGACAGCTGAAGCTGACTAACACTTAGTGAATTGTTTTATTACCAAAGAAAAGTAGGATCAAATGTTTGAAGCGTCATTTCTCAATTCTGCTCATTTTGATGTTGAATGCTAAAACAAACAAACATCTGACTGGGCAAATAAATTGGTTTCTTCTCCAGTGGGCCTTTATTCAGTTCAAAGAACATACATTTCACATAAAACAAATGTTTGGAGTTTGCTATCACATGTTCACAACGTTAATGATGTCATTTTGCCCTCCAGGCCAGTGAGATGCCAAAACTGACCGAACAACTAGCAGCTCCCTTGAGACAGATGCAGGTGAGACGACCTAAAGATGATCTGAATCAATTTGTTTGTAATCGATACGCGTTTGGATTTGGTGGAATCGTGAACGCTGTTGTTTGTGTTCAGGAGTGTGCGAAGCGCATAGCCAAAGTTTCTGCAGACGCCAAGCTGGAGGTGGACGAGGAGACTTATCTGAACCAGTTCAAGCCTCACCTCATGGATGTGGTGTTCGCCTGGGCTAACGGCGCCACGTTTGCTCAAATCTGCAAGATGACCGACGTCTTTGAAGGTGTGCCGGTCATATTAATATCCAACGATGATGACAGGAAGTTAAAACACACACTTCCCTGTTTTACAATTCCAATTTTTGACATTCTTGCGCTTACCTCGACCATTTCAATTTAGTTGTACTTTATTATTTACGACATTAATTTGACAGCTAAAGTTATTTCCAGACTTTGATTTTTTATTTTTTTTAAAATAATAAGTTCAAACTAGCTCCACCTCAACCGGCTAGAGCAGTAACATAACAATCTAATGATGTCAGTGATGAAGTACATCAGTCACAGGGTCCACTTTTCTGCAAAGCGCGTACTGTCACTTTAAATACTTTGAGTATATTTACTTCTTCTTCCACCGCTAAGGTACAACATGCCTTTACCAATCTGATTTCTTCACCATCACATGTGCAGCTGGCTGTCAGAGGCTCACTAATTGATTGATTATGTGATGTTTGATTTGAACACAGTCCCAAGTCCGTCAGTCTCCTAGTTTCTGTCTCTGACTGCCAACACTGACCTCAGCTGTGAAACATTACATGTCATCGTATTGAGAAAGTAACATTTAATTGAGAAACTCTGGAGTGTGTGTGCGCAACTATGGATCTGCAAGGAGTGAAACTACATTCCTCCAAGATATCCTTCTTCTGCTATTGAACGTTCTGTATGAATTATTGCTAGATTGAACTATGAAATAATAACATTAGTCCCACACACTGAACACTGTGTATTTGTATCTGTAGGGAGTATCATCCGTTGCATGCGCCGCCTGGAAGAAGTCCTGAGACAAATGTGCTCTGCAGCCAAAGCCATCGGCAACACTGAGCTGGAGAACAAGTTTGCTGAAGGTGAGAAACATCACGTTAATCCCCAGAAAGTCAGTTGCCGATTGTTAAAGCCACTTTTTAACATTGGCTGGTTTTCTTATTCTTCTATGTGCTTAATATCTTTGGGTTGTTTGTTAGACAAACCAAGACATAAGCAGAGGTCATCTCAGACCTCTGCACACCTGAGATGTTGTGTTTTTACCTTTTTTTTTTTATGAATTCATTATGAAAATAATCATTAGACCAACATGCCCTGATTGCTCCAGACCCTTTTTAAGTAAGTTTGAGACATGATTCAGCCATTTGATGAAGCATACCACCATCATCCTTATGGCTGTAAAGAGGAAATTCTTCTGGACTAAAGGTTAAGGTTAAACACTCCTGAAACAAATGTGTTATAAATGATGCATTAAACTCTTAATTTCCGTGTCTCTGCAGGAATAACGAAGATCAAGAGAGACATCGTATTTGCTGCCAGTCTCTACCTTTAACGACCTTTCAGCTTTTCAACACACGACGGGCAGCACTGGAGGATGAATGCTGTTTAGTTCTGATTAACTCCTGATGGATCTCCTGAACCTCGATTCTTTTTGTTTTAGTCTCACATTTTTCCCACAGATTAAATGTTAAATGGGCTTTTAATTTATGTCCTTCAGTTCAAATTTTTGACCGGTTTCTTTTTTTTCTTAACTTTGTAATGTCCTGTTCAGTTGTGTTATCCACGGTGATAATTCCATTAAATATATAAATGACATTAAACGGAAGTGTTTTTCCTTTAGGTCAATGCTTCTGTATAGACAATACGTTGAACATTCATTATTTTTCGCTTACATCAGCCAATTGGTTCATAATCTGACGTTATTTTGATGTACGTGATTGAGAAAGTAAACGAGTCATGCTTTAATTTTATGACGCCACATGACATAATACAATCACTTAATTTCTGTTGATTTGAAGTAAAATGGCTTTATTTTTGCTTTTTTTTCTTATTTTAGACATTTGTACATATTTCACTTTTTACAATAACCTCAGTATGGTGTTGTTTTTTTGAATACAGATTATAAAAAAAACCTACATTGTCTGTTCACTTGATTCTACTCGTTCTTGATACACAGGTTGCTGTGTTAGCAGCAGTCCAGCAAAGGCAACACAGACTAAAACTGACTCTTCAACTCTCTAACCAAACATGATACAAGTCATGCTTCCTTCTTGACTATATTAGATTAGGAGGGTGGAGAGTAAGGCAGCACTGGCCTGGAGTCAGCAGCTCCAGATGTGAAGCAGTGTTGCCCTCTGGTCTAGGATCAGTTTTAGTCTCCAGCACATTCTAGCTTTGAGAGGCAAACATTCCTCTAATTGGCTCCTTAATTTACGCTGGACCTGAGGCAGCAGACAGTGTCTCTGGGTGTTGGAGACAACCTAGAAACTGATCCTACATCAGATCCTTGAGGAGATTGACTCCAGGTCAGGGAAAGCACAAAGCAATTCAAATGTTCCCAACCCTCCAAAAAATATAATAAAATCATTCATGGGCGATCAGTAACTTAAGACTAGTCAGATATGTCACATATGTTCAACATTTTCTTGTAGAGTCAGAGGAAAAGATTGATAAAACTGTTTATATGATAAATATGAAGTTACATTTAGGAGATAGTTATCTTAGCATAAAGTCTGGAAACAGCTAACCTAAATCATAATAGTGTCATAGAAAAAGTAAAAGTATAGTACTGCCCTTGCACAGTATGTCACAAAGTCAGTATAAAATATAAAAAATATCAGTCATAGTATAGTATTTTAAAAAAAAAAGGTAATGAAAAAATTCATAGCATACCATGTTGAAAAAATATAAAAGGTCATATATGGTATGTCAAAAAAGTTCATAAGTCATATAGCATATCTGTAAAAGTATGGTATCTCCATTTTCTCTTTTTAGAGTGTCATGTCATGAGAAAAGTGTCTAAAAAAATAAGTCAGCATAGTATGTTGAAAAATTAAAAAAAGTATAGCATGTCGAAAGTCATTGTATTAGTCAGTATATATGTTGTAAAAATATATAAAGGTCACAATATATCCTGCTGTAAAAACTATAACAAGTCATGGCATACAATAAAAGTGAAGTCATTGTATAGTATGCCATGAACTGTCATTAAGAAAAGTCATAAAATAGTGTGCCGTTCATTCCCAAAATGTTAAAAGAAATGTCGATTCATGTCATCCACGTGAGAGTTGTACGTTATAAATGACTTCGGTTGTGAACAGAATTGTTTTTTATTCAGGCGAATGCGTCTGCGTTGTCAGAATACATTGAACATTCATGCTTTTATCATTTTCGCTTACATGAGCAAAGTGGTTCATAATGAGACGTTATTCTTGATATATCTGGCTGAGAAAGTAAACAAGTCATGCTTTAAGTTGATGACGGCTCATGACATAATACAAACACTTGCGTTTCCTTTCTGTTCATGGTAATAAGTAAAATGGCTTTTGTTTTCCTTTTTTTGACATTTGTACACGTTTTACTTCTTACTTTCTATAAAAGTCTGAATGATTTGTTATTTACACACAGATTATACAAAAGTACATTGTTGTCTGTTCACTTGATGTTTGCATTAGTTGTTAGATACACAGGGAGCTGTGATAGCAGCAGCAGCAGCAGCAGTCCAGTAAAGGCAACGCGGGACTAAAACTGACCGTCTGCTCTTCAACTCTCTAACCGAACATGATTCAAGTCAAGCTTCCTCCTCGACTATATTAGGTGAGACAGCTGGAGAGCAAGGCAGCAGTGGCCTGGAGTCAGCAGCTCCAGATGTGAAGCAGCGTTGCCCTCTGGTCTAGGATCAGCTTTAGTCTCCAGCACGTTCTAGCTTTGAGAGGCAAACATTCCTCTAATTAATGGCCCCTAAATTAACACTGGACCTAAGGGAGCAAAGTTATGAGACTCAGACATCTCAGGTGTGCTGGAGTCCACCTAGAAACTGATCCTAAAACAGATCGTTGAGCAGATTTGACTCCAGGTCAGGAAAAGCACAAAGCAAGGTTACATTCACAGGTTTCCAACCCTCCTCTCCCTCTCTCTCTCTCCCAGCAGTGGTCAGACCCTTTAGTGGGCGCGTGCAGCAGTAAAGTCTTCCCACCAGCTCAGTAGATAGATGCATGCTAAATGGTTCCTGTCTTTACAGAATCTCTAGCCTCTAACCTACATCTATCTCAGTCACTTAGGCATATCTACAAGCCTTGGACAGGTTGTCACCCCGTTCCTTCAAAAAGGTGGAGAAAAATGATAAAAGTCTTAAAATCTGAACAGGCCCGATGCATAGTCATCCACTGGCTGACTTGAGGTAAGAACCAAATGTAAATCCATGCGGGGGTATCGGATGAGAATTAGTGTGAGATGAAAGGCTAGAGAGCTGGGATCCTGGGTGTGCATCTGGGCAGAGCAGAGAGGGGTCGTCCTCCTCCTCTTGTCTCAGCTTAGTTGGGACTCTCAAAGTGGTTTCCATTTGTTGTCTCCTGCAGGGTTGTGTGTGGCATGTCGACATCTTTACGGACATCTACGCGTGGCTTGAAAAAGTCAGACACGCAGAAGACCTGCAAGATACAGGAAGAGAATGTGAAAAGAAAAGGCATAGATGAGTGTTTGGGTTAACGATTTACACCTGTGCTTTGTTTAAAACAAAAAACATCCTGATGGGAAAATTAATACCTTTAATTTGTAATTTGGGAAATATGCATTCACCTTTCTTGCAGAGAGTCAGATGAAAATCATATTTGTATGATAAATATGAAGTTACATCCAGGAGATATTTGGCTCAGCATAAAGACTGGAAACAGCTATCCTGGTTCTTTCAATGTCATAGCAGAATACATTTCATAATACAGTAAGTCATAAAAAAAATCATTATATAGTAGGTCACAAAAAAAGGGAATATGAAAGTCATTATATAGCATGTCATAAAAATGCCATAAAAAAGTCATAGCTAACTTCACAGGTACAGGTATGTGATGAATTTGTGCCATGGACACCAAACAGACAGTCGTGCGTAATGATAAATAATATTTGAAATATCCTGTTGCCCCATTCATAGCTGTGGTCGTGCATCAAAGGCATTGGAAACTATTTTATTCAATTGGCTGCTTATTGTGAGAGATGCAGTCCTACATGGACACACAACTGTCTGCCACAGTTATCTCACATGAGAGATTGATGGAAGTGTGTGTTTTGCCTCTAAATGCCACACTGAGCAGATCATGCACACAGAGCTATGCGAGCAGTTTCCACCCTCCATCCGGTGTTCATGCTATGCCAAGACAAACATCTCCTGGTTTCATATTTCACTGATAGATATGAGCGTGTGCATCTAATAAAAAGGCAGATAATGCCCCCAAATGAATAAAAAAAGAAAAGAAAAGAAAGCAAACTTGCATATATATAAAAAAGCTTAAGACCCATCACTTACCACCAGGATAGCCATGAGAGCCCCCTGCAGGAGTCCCGTCAGCACATCGCTCCAGTGATGCTTATAATCAGACACCCTCGACAATCCTGTAAACACCGAGGCAGCAATCAGGAAAAACTGGATCGTGGGTCTCAACAGCCTCGCCCAATCAGCCTGGAGTCGGGCCTGCAGGTAGAGCTGAAAGAGACGCAGCAAAAGGACTGTTGGATGATCAGTGTCGTACGCAGCATTACTGTGTGAGTGGTAGGAAAGCGAGCTGCAGGGATTTAAAGATGACTCAGTGTATTTCCATTTGCCTGACCACACCAGAGATAAATATATCATGTTTTAAACAAACATCTTCTTAAGTTATTAGATTATTATCATTATTAGAAATCTCCAGCAGGCCACATTTCACTTTGTCAAACTGACCTTAAAACAATCAACTGATACAAGTAATCAGTCAAACATTATCTCTGTCCAGCTGAACGCCGTGTTCAAAACTTGTGTTTGTATTGAAAACAGGCATCTTTTCTTTTTTTGTTGTTGTCGTTTCAAATCGAGGACAAACAAGTTTATCCAGATCCATGTTGCTCTTCCTGTAACACTAAAACTACGCAAACGCTGTCCTTTAACTGTGGGAGCACACAAAATAAAACACTCCCTGGATTTGTAGGTCAACGTTTAAATGTCAGCTGCTGTTGCTCATACTTGGATTTCCACTCAAAGAAGAGGGAGCGGGAGCGCTACGTTGGTGCCAGGACTTTGTCCCTGCATCTATTTATATCTGCTGGTGTTGAATGAATCAGCAGCCGGTAAAGTTTAGCAGGGCTAGGCAGTAAAATCAGCTCTGGACAAACACAACAGAGGGTCCACGGATGCTCCTCTGAGCAGGACAACTGTCATCAAAGGCGGATTAAAGAAATCTCCAAGCGCTGCAGTTTGAAGCGATATTTTGGCATCTTGGGAAATATACTCATTAGTCGCCTTTACCGAGAGGTCAATGAGAAGATCCATAGCATTCATGTCTGTTAAATTAAAGGCTACAGCCACGTAGGAGGCCGTTAGCCTAGCGTAGCATAAAGACTGGAAACGGGGAAACAGCTAGGCTGCTTCTTCTATCTCAGAAAATAACAGTATTTCAAAAAAATGTCAAACTATTCCTTTAAGCTTGAGTTATTAATATGACCATCGCATTCTGTTTAGGAGCTTGATGTGCCAGTTTACATGACAGCAAATGATTAAAAAAAAGATATATTGTTCACAATAATTGGTTGAAGAACTTCCTCTGAAGACAATGCTCCAGTGAATAATGATTGCAAGTCAGTGTGTAACTAGTTTCAGTACTTACAGCCAGGAACAGCATGCAGTACATGGAAAAAGAGGAGTGGCCGGAGTAGAAGGACAGCCTGCAACGGAGAGACAAAAGCATTGCTCAACACTTTGCCATGTGCTTAAATAATTAAAAGACAAAACAAATGTGAAGACACTTAGAGATGTTGTTGTATTATTCATTAGTCAGACACACAAACATCATCCTGGCACAACCGTATTGGGAGTTTGAATTATCGCCCAGCCCTACTGACTACGTGAGTTGGTTGCAGTCGGGGACATGAATGGTTATACAGCAGCTATAGTCTGTCAAATTTCAGACAAAAGGAAAACAATGTCCGTCACAAAGCTGTGTGGCTTCAGCTGGCTTGCTTTGTAAATGTAACACGAGTAACAGCAGTGAAGCAGAAAATCCTCAAATCTCTAAGAAGCTGAAATCAGTATTTATTCTACTTATTGTTTCAGCACCAACAGTGTTGTTAGTGGACGATCACAAAGGAACGTGGTTAGAAACCCCAACTGGCAAATGAAATAATAATGCCGACCTCTCTACATCTTCTGTGGCATCGCATTAAAACTGCAGGATGGTCCGAGCCTGTGAGGGCTCCACTCTATATGAACAGAATCCATTGGGATTCAAAAATGGTGTCCCTTTCCTTACTGGTCTGTTTTTTAAATCACACTCTCAAGCATTGAGAGCCTAAAGTTGGGCTTTCTCTCAAAAGCAAACAAATACATTTCTCTCCTCGGGAAATGAAACTAAGCCAAAGAAGAATCATATTACAGTAAGATGATCCTGAGCAGGCTGCACGACATGCTCTGTCCTCTCCTGCTCATTTTCTCCATTAGAGACTAGCAGGCCACCCCAACCACCCACACCCACACACACACACACACACACACACACACACACACACACGTTGGAAAGACAAAAACGTCCTTACTGGATCCTCATTTGAACCTGCTGATACATTTTGTCTCATTATACTACATTAGAATAAACCTTTCGTCTCAGCTCGGGGGAAACTGGCTGTTCGAGAGAAGACACAGAAAACAAAAACACTAACTTTTAAGCAGAACAACCTACTTTACCTTTAAGTCAAGTAGAACTGAATAGAATAGAATAGAAAGTATCTCACAGCCCATAGTGCTGGTACAATCTGCACAGCTGACGTCACTGCTTCTATAATTACAGAGGTCTTGGTGCTTGTGCCTTCATCAGAATGAGAAGTGGATATCCTCCCCGCCCACTATGCTTCCTTCTGCTCTGAGCTGATAACGGACACAAACAAGCTCTACATTCCTGGTATATTATTCAATCCTTCTGGTCTTCTTACCTTTACATCATCCGTGTGCAGATATTGACCAGAAACTAAAAAGTTGCACAACTTCACAATGTTATGCCATAACAGTCCTTCCATTGCCGTCATTAATCAACTAAGTATTCGTAGGTTGTTCAGTGACACATCTAACCTTTGCCCTCTGTACTTGTTGCGTGTTGCAAAACAATGGAGTGAATAGAGGTTTAGAGTGAGATTTCACTAATCTGTTGGGCAACAAACAAAAACCCAGGGAGCTGCAAATTTAAATGAGGGGCTCATTTCAACAGCAAGCATCTGAAATCATTAGTTAATATGTCTATAAAAAGGTTAAGTGAGTGAAAACTGTTGTTACAATCTTCCGCATCTATTTTGAGAAAAATCCTCACATTCCAAAAAGTGGAACCAGAAAATGTTGGAAAATGACTAAAACAATCGATCCATAATCAGAATAAGTTGCTGGTTGATTCATCCGTCCATGTCCAAGTTCTGAGGTAAAGCGATACGTACCTGCCCTCATTGACCATCTTCTCGTCTCCATTGCAGGTGAACTCCTCAATATACGCCCCCGATGAGCAGTTGATAAACTTCCAATCAGGTCTGCACACATCCAGGAAGTGCGGCCTGAGACGGCCGATGGAGTACTTGGCTATGTCGGTCAGAGACTGGCTCATCGCGGCGCCAAAGAGGAACGTGCCGATGGCTTTGTAAACAGAGGAAATGTGGCTGCCGAAAGAAGATTTGGATTTGATGCGCTTTAGATAAACTGAAAGGCACTCGCCAAATATCATCTGTAAGGGGAGGGGGGGGAGGACAGGATACAGAGTTAGAGATTTGTACAGAAATACAAAAAACTACAAATGAAAATGAAAGATGCAACTGAATGAAATCCACTCCAGAGCCTAAAATATTCCCTAATCCCTGTGCAATAGTGTTTAAAGGAATAGTTTGACCTTTTGGGATCAGTATGACTCTAATGTCTGTATGCTAAATAACTACTACCACCAGCAGCCAGTTAGCTTAGCTTAGCATAAAGACTAAAGAATGTATGGTGAATGCTTTCCTCATGAAGTCAAGGTACCTGCACCACTTCAGTTATTGAACTACGTGTCAATTACCGAGCTTTAGAGGAGCTGGTTAAACTTTGGACAGAGGCCTTTCTGCTAAGCTAAGCTAATCATCTGCTGGCTGTAGCTTCATATAACGGGCAGATATGAGCATTATTTCTAAAAGTGTCAAACAATTCCTTTAAATACAATCTCTATAACACGACAGAGGAATGCTCATCTGACAAAAATATAACACATAATGTTGTAAAATATGATTGGCCACAGGATGATGTCCACTTAAAATAATATACATTTAGTTTGATCTAATTATTAGATATTTTTAGATCTCACAGTAAGAGATTTTGGAGCTTGTACGCATGCGTTCATACTGTATTAAACACGTCAGAAGTGCACGTGTTTGTTCATCGTCAAAAGATTTCAGTGGGCTTAAAAAGCTGGTGTCGCTTCTGCTCTGTTAACTTTAAAAGCTCCCGTCGATGGCTCACTGAAGATTAAAGGAGTCTGTTCTTCATAAAGCTGCTTTAAGCTAACTTACTGCATCTAAAGAATGTAAATGAATACATAGGTGAGATGCAGTATGGAACCTTTTTGTAAAACTTTAAGTGTTCAGTAAAAAGATACCTTCTCAGGTTATACACTGAACTGACTGAGACACTTTGCCCTTTGAGAGTTGTCACGTTTTTTTCAATTCCATTCAGCATCGAATGACCGAAGTCACCGCTGTGTCGCTGGTGAAGAGTTTCACATCTGTCATATTTACGGTCGTTCTGCAGACTGTTGGGGCGGCTGCAGAATAATTTAGGGCTGCCGAGTTTCAAAGTAAAGGTTCACCTCAGGTCACCCTTCTATTTTCATCTTCAAATATTGCAGTTTGGAGAAAAACATTTTCTACAACATGCAGTTAGCAAGTTAAGTCACAGTTGGTGACTTAGTGGTGGCTGACGCAAGCAATTAAAAACACACTAGAGTATTAGAGAATCAAGTACTTAAGAGAGAAGAGAGAAGTTCGGGGTGTTAAAGAGGATACAGATCAGCTGCACATGAAAGACAAGTCAAATAGAGAACCGTTAGCAGAAAACAAAACAGATGCACTTACAGTGAGTATTGTGACGGGAATCATAACCCCTCCTAACAACTGATAGGAAATGGTGTCTTCTTTAAGGGGGTACTTGATTGAATCATCATTACAGAAAAAGCCCCGGCGGAAAGGACTGTGTTGCAATGTGAGTATTACAAATGGAATTCCAGCTATAGCAGAGAGGCAACGAGAGAAAAAACAAAAAGGGAACAAAATTCAGGTTACAAGAACATGTCACTGGGCCCTTAGAACATCCTACCCATGATGCACCTGGAGGAGACAGCAGCCATGTTAG